ATTTTAAATTTTGTACTTATTTCAAATTGAAGCTTCTTGAAAACAATTTAATGTTCAGCCTCCCCCAAACCTTAGGGAAACTGAGGCAGCTCAGCTTCTTAGGAAATCTTGTTCACCTCTACACTTCCTCCCCATCTCTCCTAAATGGAAAATGTTAAGGTTATATAATGTTCCTATCTGTAATTCTCCAAGTTAAGAACTTCCTCTTAGGTTCTGGGCGGGGTGATGAGCAATGGTTTTATTCTCCATGTAGACAGCATATTCTGACCCACCTGCTTCTGAGATACCAGTGCCTCTTTTGTCATCAAATCTGATGTCAGCATCTTGTTTTCTTATTTAAGGCAACAAATCTGCATTGCATGGTCAAGTATAGGGGTTTTCCTAGTAGAACCAACATAAATGAGGTGAATCTTTTATCCAGGTCACCTTTTTCATCCAGTAATCTCATCTCTGGAATTTATAAATATACCAATCAAAGAAAGAAAAGGCCATCTGCCTATGTGGCTGACTTAATTTTAATAGTGCAAAATTATTTTAATCTGCTGGGATACTGTGCTGCAAAACAAGCAACCTTGAAATCTCAGGTGTACAATAATAAGCACGTATTTCTCACATATGCATTTGCAGTCAGCTGGGGTTTGGGTTCTTAAAAACGATTTTATTTATTTATTTGACACAGAGAGAGAGAGAGCACAAGTAGGTGGAGCAGGCAGGCAGGGGCAGAGGGAGAAGCAGGCTTCCCACTGAGCCTTCCCCATATGGGGCTCCATCCTAGGACCCTGGGACCATGACCCGAGACAAAGGCAGATACTTAACCGATTGAGTTACTGAGGAGCCCCCAGGTCAGCTGGGTTTTGTTTAACCTAGTAGGGATCAGTTGAACCTGGCTCCAGGCTGTGAGCTGACTGCAAGTCCACTTCATATCTCTCACTCATCAGTGACTGCTCGGCTGCCCAAGACATAGTTTTTGCATGGCCAGAGCGGAAGCCCAAGAGAACAGCCCTACTGCTGAAGTGGTAAAGCCTCTGTGCACATCACAACCATTGACATTTAACCAGCCATATAAAGTCACACGGCCAAACCCACATCAAGGGGGTAGAAATATACTCCTGCTCCAGTGTTAGGAACTACAGTGATGGAGTGTTGGGAACAGTAATGCAATCTACAACCAGGCTTCACAAAAAGTTTCAGTGGAGAAAACGCACCCAAGATATAAAATTGATTGTACAACTCGATCATAACATACTATTTTTGTATATCAACAAAGAATGGAAATAAATAAGCAAATATGAAAAAATTATGCCTGAATAACAAGATAAGAACTTTTTATGTTGTCTTTCTCCATTTCTCAAACTTACATAATAGAATTATGTCACCCTTCTTTTTTAAAAAAAGATTTTTTTAAATTTATTCATGGGAGACAAAGAGAGAGAGAGGGAGGCAGAGACACAGGCAGAGGGAGAAGGAGGCTCCATGCAGGGAGCCCAACGCAGGACTCCACCCTGGGACTTGAGCCCGGGACTCGATTCTGGGACTCCAGGATCACGCCCTGGGCCAAAGGCAGGCGCTAAACTGCTGAGCCACCTGGGGATCCCCTGTCACCCTTCTTTTTTAAAGTAAGTTTTAGATGCTTGTAATAGGTAAGTTATTTCATCAAATTGTTTTATGCATTATATTAAGAGTCTACAGAAAAGTTTAGATTTCTAAGTCAATTATTCTTAGTCCCCACCAATTCCAAATCTCCAACTCAAATCTTTTTTTTTTTTAAGATTTTATTTATTTATTCATGAGAGACACAGAGAGAGGCAGAGCCATAGGCAAAGGGAGAAGCAGGCTGCCTGCAGGGAGCCCGATACAGGACTCCGTCCCAGGAGCCGGGGATCACGAGCTAAAGGCAGATGTTCAACCACTGAGCCACCCAGGTGCTCCTTTCCAACTCAAATCTAATGAACTTCCAGCAACCTGGACCTTTAATTTTGCCCCTTGCCTAAAAACAGTTTAAATTCCTTCATTCTCCTGTTCTTCATTATGTCAGTGTTGATTATTCTCCACACTGAACTCTTTGAAGATTCTAAAATTAGATATCCATTTCAGTGAATAGAGGCATTGTCCCTAGTAGATTCTGATTTTCAAAGCAGCAGGTCCATTCAACAAATAATTATTGAGCACTTTCCATGTTCGAGGCACTGCACTAGTTGCATGCATTTGGGGAAATAAAGATGCCTGAGTGACCATCCTTACTCTCAAGGAGCTCACAGTCTGATGGGAAGAGAAATGTGTATATATCTATCTGAGGACAGAAAGAACAGATGTGAAGAAGGGTTCAATAGTTCTCAACCCTGGTGGCATATTAGAATCATCTGGACAGCTTTTAATGAATATTGATGCTCAAGCCTGCGGCTGAAGATGCTTGTTTCATTGGTTAGGTGTTGGGGCTGATCACTGGTTTTAGTTTTTGTTTTTTAAAGTAGACTCCACACCCAGCATGGAGCCCAACATGGGGCTTGAACTCACAACCCTGAGATCAACACCTGAGCTGAAATCAAGAATCAGGCTCTTCACTGAGCCATTCACACTCCCCAGATCACAGGGATTTTTTAAAGCCTCTTTGTCCCCCACCCCCCCGGGGGGGGGGCAGATGATTTTAATGAGTAGCCAGAATTGAGAACCACTGAGTTAGGTTTTCTACTTTCAGTCAGACTGAGCTGTTTGAGTAGACTAAGAGCTGGTAGACTCTCACATTCAATATATAAAACGATTCATTTTCAAATGAGTTATTTTATCAAATTATACATAGAGTTTTAAAAAGTTGAATGATACTGATGCTTATGACTAAATTATAACAGTTCCCTGTTTTTCCTATTCCCTAATCCCTCTCCACTTTTGACTATTTTTCGAGAATGCACACATCTCCAAATATTAATGCACTGCTATCTTCTGCTTCATCTGAAATTAATTAATTGTCGAACTTTGTGTCTCCCACCCAAAGTACCCAAAGTACCCAAAACCCCAAGGAAAGGTAAAAAGGTTGAAATGTCAAGTAATTGAAGCAGCAAGAGGCAGGGGAGAAGTTCTTCTGTTCAATCCTTTCACCAAGACATCTGGCCATTAGGTTCAGACTGGCCCATCTGGTGGCCTGAGTGATTTTGAGAGGTTTGAGTGCTTTTCCAAGCCCTGCCTGTTTTCTCATCTCTTAGAAAGCTGATAAATTTTATCTGAAATTATAGCCAGAGGAATATTTCCACACTTTCTTTTGCACTCAAGCCTCCCTGGCATCAATAAAGTTGTCCTAAACCTTTCCAGGACTTAAAAACAATCTGGAAATCAGAGTATCTTCAAAGCAGCTTAAAAATCCTTACAAACAGGAAAGCAAGATTGCATTGAAGAGCTTAGCAATTTTGGGGGCTGACTAGAGAAAGGGAACTTCTGATTTTATTTCTATTTCACATACGTTGGAAAGAAGACATGATAGGAACATGTTGCATAGATATGATGATGCCAACAGCTACTTCTGTGGCATACTTTAGAATGAGTTTGGCACTATCATCAAGTCTTTTAAGCCACAGAATGGCTGCAAAAAGGAGAGACCAAATTTAAGTTAGGGGGATGGTGAAAGTTTACTTGAGGAGTTGGACATTTGAACAAGAACTTGTTGGCAAGTAAGGATTTCAGCAGGTAGAGGGGCAGACAAGGGTTTGAAAGCTGAGAAGAGAACACAGCCAGGAGCCAGGAGTATGTACGGGTGGGGTGGTATAGGTAGTAGCATTGTCATCCAGGCTCCCTGTAAACTTATGAGCTAGATTAAAATTAACACCAAATCATAATGGAAGAGCTCAGAGATGTACAAAGGCCTCCTATACACAGACCATTTCTCAGGCCAGCAGCAGAGTATAAGCAGTTTTGAGCCTAGGTGAATGTAACAATATGTAGAGAATGAATGTGAGCAAAGTGCGTCTGTGTTGGGAGGAGTGAGGGCGAAGGTTGGCGGTCAACCTGAAAACTTTAGAAACTAGGAGAGAAGAGGAATTTCATCTGAGGCAGAGAATGTGGAACGTTTTGTCACCTTTAGCATTCTAAATTTGCATTATTTTGTAAACCTGACCTATCTAGTCCTTGTGGTGAAATATCCCTATTTTAGAGATGATTGCAGTAGTCTAACATTGCCTAGAGTCTTCATACATTTGAATGAGATTACCATTGTTGCAAAGCTCTGCTTGTATAATTTGGCTTCCTATGTTAGTGTTGAATATAATGATTAGCAAAAGTATCTGGCCCACTTGTTACTACAATCCTTACTATGAATTGATAGAGTGATATTTTCACTTATGCATTGGTCTTTTGTGAGCTTGATTACCATAAAGCCATCCCCAAGAGACTAATCCATACTTAGTGCAAAGAGGAAATCAAGTTCTAGGCCCATAAATCTTGAGACCCAAAGCCAGTAAGAGGTACTAACCAAGGTGCTGCCCTTGAGATAGCCAATCAATGTTCATAGCCTGGAGGGCATCCTATTTCCTACTCTCAAAATAGGCCAGCAAGGCTGGGGGTGCCTTATACATATTGGGAGAGGAAGTAGAACAAAAGATGTGTTAGAAGAATAAGTCAGGGTGTATCATGGAATACCTTGGAAATGGGTTTGACCTGAAAACTTCAGGGACTCACTGCAGATATATTGGCAGGGGATGCCACACACTCCATTCTTTATCTAAGGACGAGGTCTGGTCCCTGAAAGATGGACTGGTCTAGGAAGACCAGAGGCAGAGGACCAATCTTCAGTCTGCTATCATTGTACAGGAGGAGGTGAAGTGGATGGGGAAAAGGACAGTGACAGCGCATAGAATGGAAGGGTCTCGCCCAAGACACGTCCCCGTGGCTCCACACTATCCATACTTACTGTGCCTTGATTTCCTCACTGATAATACATGAGAAGGAGTGGCCGCCACCTGCCTGGGAGAAGGGACACTGCCCTTCCTGGCTGCCTGTACTGTTAAAAATAATTTTCAGAAAGCTGCCCTCTTTTCATAAAACAGGTAGAGGTGTTTAATGGCCCGTGAGGCAAAGCGGAGCTTATGAGCTTCTTCTGACAGGGTCCATTCTGGACTAAGCCCAAACACAATATTCCTCTCCAGGCCTGCAAACTGCTGAATACTGTCTAAAACAATGCAACTGCCCCAAACTCCAGAGGCCTGGCTAAACACAACCTTTGTCACTCCATGGGTTTCAAATAATTCCATTGCTTTTAGAAGTGCACACTCATAGTGTCCTCTGTCCTCCCCTTTCCTGCACAGAATTGCAATGTCTTGAGGCTGATAGCCACATTGGAACAGGTTGTGACACCTTTCGGCCACCCGTTTCACAATTTGTTCCATAGTCAGGCTAGTCTCTGTCTCAAACACCCCAGGCAGAGCCTGGGCACCCACTGCTTCCTCGTAGGCAGCTTCCCTGAACAATGACAGTGTGTCTGGGGCCAGGCTGGAGGGAGGATTTGCTTTGATCCTCTTCATTTCCTCTTTCATGACCATTGCTATTTCCAGAGCACAGTGGATCCCATTGGTGATTGTTTTTCGGGGAAACTGAGCAGATGGAGTGGGAAGACCATTAATATCTGCACAATGGATCTGAAAAGGGTCCAGAAAAATCCAGAGGATCCCGTGATGAAGGTTTTCACTGCCAGCTCCCTTCACCTTTGGATGAGTGATGCTCCTGGCCTTCAAGTACCAGTCTCCATATTTACTGCAGAAATTCTCAGTATCATCCATCACTATGTGTTTAATCTTAAGGAACTCCCCTTGTAAGAAGATCTTCCGGGTCACAGCTTGGCAGGTGGTTTGTTGGCTGAGAGGATGAAAGAGAGAATAAGGTTTCAGGCATATAAACAAAGGGACCAACACGTATTCATTACTACATGGATTGGAATCAGAGGCTGGTTCTCATGAGAGGCTGATCCATGGATTCGTGGTGTCTGGAACACTACAGAACTGCTCTACTTACAAGTATGTATCTGCAGACAGAATACATAATTGCAAACCTTCCTCTTTGGGGTTATCTAACTAAATCTGCATGTGAAACTTTTTGAGATGAACCCAGGTAGGAGATTTTATTTCTATTACTACTCTTTTTCTGCTGCTTGGCAATCTCTGAAGACAAGCTCATTATATGGAAAGGAAATCTCAAAAGTAACTTATACTTGCTACTACTGTTACTTAACTTTCTGTCCTTTTTAGAGCTGGAGAACAGGTCCCTAGAGACAATTTTTATGTGCAAAAAGGTATGAGCTAGAACAAATACCTCTAAAGCAAGTCCTATCTCCCCTTCCCCTTGTAGTACAAAACCAAAGCCTCCCTAGGTTTTGGTAAGGAAAACATCAGGAGGTTGCTGAGTTCTGTGACATGTCAAGTAGGGTAACAAATCTACAGGGCTATGGTTCTCTGGAACTGCTACTGTGTTTCCTTAGCTCAATTTTCCTTTATAGTATGTTTCAACATATTAGAGGAGGCAAGAAACAACCAAGTTTATTACCATATTATTATATGACCAAGTTTGTTAAAAAATTTATATAACTTGGCTGTTTCTTGCCCCCTCTAATTTGAATCTAAGTTATATCACTTATTCTCACACATTTCCTGATTTTACGTATGCAGTCCTTGGGGTTTTACCCCTTATGCTTTGAATCACAGCTACTCATGTTCTCCACCAGTTGGGACTGTGTAGACTTCTTGAAGAAAAGCACTGTTCTTAGCCCCCTCATACCAGGGGTTCAATAGATACTTGTTGAATTTGCCTTTAGACTGGGATATTTTTTGACTTACCTATAAAACATAGCCCTCAGCATAGTTTATGAGATCCTCCATAATTTGGCATCTATCTCCTTTCCAATTTCATCATCTGCCACGTACCCCCATTCTCTCACTGCCCTAGACAGACCCACTATTTTGATTCTCTCATGTGCCTTTGCACTTGCTGTGTGCCCTTTACCTAAAAAGCCCTCATTTTACTCACTCCTCCTCCTGACTTCTTAAGAGTATGCCCAAGGATTTCCTTCCTTGGGGACTATCTGTTGATCAACCTCCAGCATAAGTTAAGATGAGCATACCTTTAAAACCATGTTGAGTGATGCCTTAGCTGCATAAATGTGTTGTTACACAACACTCACATTGTTTATTTTTTTGTCTCCTCTTTTAGACTTTATGGCCAGGTCTTCAATATGTTTTTCACCTGCTAATACTAAAAGTACACATTCCTAGCATAGAAGTGGTGCTCAAAAAGATTTATTGCATAAATAAGTAAACCAAACCAAAAATTAAAATGAGTTTGCCCTCATTTGTTGGATTGTATAACAACCAATTTCTTTTACTAAATTGATAGGTAAATATTTAAATCAGAGGCAGATTTGCATGTTTTCTGAAATTGTTGGTTCAGAAAAAGTCAAACAAATGAAAATGTTTTATAAACAAAAACAAATGGTATTTAAATTCAAGTTCCTGTTAGGTATAATGTCTAATGAACTGAAATACTCTTTGGCTTTAAAGCATTAAATATCAAGCAAAATATATATGTAAAGCAGGACAAGTTTATATCTTCTTTTTTTAGAGTTAAGGCCAGAGATTGTAGGGGAAAAGTGTTTCTAGTTAGAGAAATTTAAAGTGATATATAGTTGACTAATTTGTAATGAGATGTTTAAGCCTGAGCATTGCAAAGTACCCACCGATAGCTTAACTACCTGATGGTTTGGAAATGTGCATACAGTCTGGGCTCTCACATTTATCCAGCTAAGGCATCATCAAGTCTTAAGCTAAAAACACAAACTGCTTTTGTGATACTGTGGAAAAGACTGACTAAATGCTATGTATATTGTGTTGAGTCAGTGGAACTCTTACATTACGTAATCCTTTAAGGAGTCAGTTTCACAAACATAAAGAATCTCTTTTGGTTTGCACTGGAACAAATCTTTGATTTTCTCCATGATCTTTATGGCTAGGGCTGTCTTTCTGGTTCCCGGAAAGCAGTGGATGAACAATTCACGTGTCTCCTGAAGGCTTTCTGAGAGTAACTCACACTGCTCCTCTATGAGCAAGTTGAAAAACTCACAGCCCAGCTGGTCACTCAGAAGAGATCTGGAACACAGTGAGACTACAATAAGGGCCTGTAACAGGTCTTCCATTTCATCCTTGGTAGTAAGCCTGTAGGATTGGGGGTAGTGCACGAGGATTTCACCAGGGCTACACTGTATGCTGGGCAGGTACATCAGCCTTGGGATAACACACACTTTCCCTGTGTAACCACCAACAGTTCCCAGTTTCTGCTTTAACTGATGAGCAGTGTTTCGGGCATACTCAAGCCCTCCATTCCAACTGGGGTTTTTTAAGATTGTATAGAGTACCGGGGGACTGTTAACTGCTATTAGGAGAGCATCACACAGAACAGCCTCCTCTTTCCTTAAGCCAATATCACTAGCCCAGCTTCTAGAAAATATCACAATCCCCTGAGAACAAGGATATATCTGTGTCTTCATTAATTCCTCGAGTCCTTTATGATCCAAGAAGAGCTTCTTACAGAGGGATTCTGGTTTAAACTGTATCTCTTCCTGTGTCACTGAAAATGCAAGAAATAGAAGTTACTAACTAAAATTTACAAAAGCACATTGTAAGTATTCCTGCAACATCATAGGAAGAAATGAATCTAGCCATGGAACTATGGGTTTCCTTGGGTACACAGAAAGCACCCACTCTTATTTTGATGTAGTTCCAATAATTTGTTTTTGCTTTTGTTTTCCTTGCCTCTGGAGACCTATCTAGAAAGATCCAGTAATCACAAAACCCAGTATTTACCTGAAGAATACGAAAACACTAATAGGAAGCATATAGTCACCCCTATGTTTATTGCAGCATTACTTACAATAGCAAAACTATGAAAACAGCCCAAATGTCCATCCATAGATTAATGGATAAAAAAGGTATGGTATATACATTCAACAGGATGTTGTTCAGCCATAAAAAAGAATGAAATCTTGCCATTTGCAATGACATGGATGGATCGAGAGAGTAAAATGCTAGGCAATGTAAGTTAGAGAAGGACAAATACCATATGATTTCACTCATATGTGGAATTTAAGAAACAAAACAAATGAACGAAGGAGGAAAAAGACACAAACCAAAAAGCAGACTCTTAACTATAGAGTACAATCAGATGGTTATCAGAGAGGAGGTGGGGGGGTATGAATAAATTAGGTGAAGAAGGTTAAGAGTACACTTATCTTGATGAGCACTGAGTAATATATGGAACTGCTGAATCACTGTATTATACACCTGCAACTAATATAACATTGTATGTTAACTATACTGAAATTAAAATTAAAAAAAAATTTTTTTTTAAAAGAAAGCACCCTCTCTTCACAGGCCAGGACTATGAAGTTCCCATTTATGGCAGCTCTTGTACAGGGGAAGGTAACAGAGGTCTTCACAGAATAACCTTCTAGCACCCCCTCCCCAACCCCAAGTTACCTACTACCACAAGGAAGGTATTCCTTCCAGCTAAGGGTTGTGTGTGTGTGTGTGTGTGTGTGTGTGTGTGTGTGTGTGTGAACCTGATGCTGTAAGGAAATAAGAACTTTCCTTTAGAACATCCGTTCCTAACCATGTGGCAATTTTGCCCCCTGGGGGACATTTGGCAATGTCTGGAATATTTTTTGTCATAGCCGGAGAGGTGCTACTAGCATCTATAGTGAGTAGAGGGCAGGAAGGCTGCTAAACATTCAACAATTCACAAAGCATCCCCTCTCAACAAAGAATTATCCAGTTCAAATATCAGTAGTGCCAAGATTGAGAAACTCTGTTTTAAGAAGAGTCCAGGTGACCCCGTGGCTCACCTCCTTCTCATTGGAAAGCCAGGGGGCAGTTCTCTTGTGGTGTAGACTCTCAAATTTAGAGAACAAAAGTCATGTGTAACTGGAAGCCCCAAAGGATACAGAAATGTAGTGTGGATACAACAAGTGAGAAGCAAGAGTCAGTTGTAATTATTATTTCAGGACCATTATGTGTGCTAAGTCCTGCACTTAACCTCCTCTAAGGAGAAAGCCTAGGACTAATTGCTACCAGTTCCTCCCAACTTATTTATTTATTTATTTAGTGAACTCTATGCCCAACGTGGGGTTCAAACTCACAACCCCGAGATTAAATCACATGCTGTACTGACTAGGCCAGTCAGGTGCCCCCCTCCACCTTAATTTTAGAAAATAGTCCCTTCAGCTGAAATCAAGAAAGAATACCTGGAAACAGACGCTGTTGCAGAGGCCCCTTAAATTCCAAGACTTTTATGGGAAATGATGGGCTTCCTAGTGTTGATGGAGCTGGTGCACACAGGGAGTCAGCGGCCAAACTGGAAGTTGCTAAACAAATACATGGCAAACTGTCTCAGATGAAAAAGAAAACTTTTTTTTTTAAGAGAGGGAAAGAGGGATCCCTGGGTGGCTCGGCGGTTTGGTGCCTGCCTTTGGCCTGGGATGTGATTCTGGGGTCCCGGGATCGAGTCCCGCATCGGGCTCCCTGCATGGAGCCTGCTTCTCCCTCTGCCTGTGTCTCTGCCTCTCGCTCTCTCTGTGTCTCTCATGAATAAATAAATAAAATCTTAAAAAAAAAAATAAGAGAGGGAAAGAGTGAGAGACGGGGAGGGCAGAGGGGGAGGAGAGGGGAAATAAGCAGGCTCCACACATGACCTGAGCCAAAATCAAAAGTCAGACGCTTAACTGACTGAGCCACACCGGCACTCCAGAAAACTTTCTCTCTTGCTTTTACTACTGTTGACATGTGATATGCATCAGTACCTGAGCCACTCTCACACTTTCTATGCCTCAAACAATACACATATGTCAGGAGAAGAAGCCTGGGGGACTCCAGCAGGGTTATCCTTCTTCTTCTTCTTCTTCTTTTTTTAATTCATCTTCTAAGTCACTGTGTGACTCATCCTGGGCAAGTCATTTATCCCCTCTCACATGCCAGAGTGAGCTGGTGACTCCTACGTTTCCTTCTAACTCTGATATTCTGATTCTTGGTCATCCCTAAGAGGAAAAACTTATAGTGGGGGATCAGAAAAAGTTAAGCACCGTATTTTTTTATATTGTTATAGTTTGTTTAAGCCCCCATTGAAAGTTTAGATGGAGCAGAAAGTGGTGGATCTCTAGTTTGGGGTATGTGTGTATATGAGAAAAGCAAACTCAAATTTAGGACAGGAAAATGATCCAGCAAAATCACTCAAGTCTTGATCCCGGCTTCTTTTATTAAATTTGAAACATATTGACCATGAAGTCACACCGATAAGTTTTATTCAGCCTGTAAGCCCTTACTGGACTGATTAGAAATCACCAGGGCTGATTCTGAGCCAAACCATGAAGGAAGTAAAAATGCTAGGAGTCTTCCTCCCCACCTCCACCCCCTGTCCAGCATCTCCTTTGCATCATTTTCCCCCCACTTGGTGGTGCTTCAAGCCCGCGGGCTGAAGGTGTTAGCTCCTAATGTTACAGGAACCATTGAGGTTTGTCAACAAGCTTCCCTTGAAAGAATTAGCAGAGTCATCCTTAATGTGTTTCTCTCAAATACCATCTTTAGAGGGTGACACTGTTGGTGAATGTTTTTGACTAGGACTATCAGGCTGCAAAATTCTTTCAACAGGCAGTTACAGTGCATAAAAGGGAACTCTCACTAACTCATAGCTGATGGGATAACTTTCCCAAAGTGGACTAAAATCCAAGCATTACTTGACCCCAAAGAGTTAATATTCTGAGTCTTCAGAACTGAAAAAAAATTTTTAAAGATTTTTTTTATTTAAAAATTTTTAAATTTTATTATTCATGAGAGACAGAGAGAGAGAGAAAGAGAGGCAGAGACACAGGCAAGAGAGAAGCAGCCTCCATGCAGGAAGCTCAATGTGGGACTCGATCCTGGGACTCCTGGACCTGACCCGGATCACATCCTGGGCCGAAGGCAGATGCTCAACTGCTGAGCCACACAGGTGTCCCTAAGATTTTTTTTTTTTTGAGATTTTATTTATTTATTCATGAGACAAACACGCACACACACAGAGAGAGACAGAGAGAGAGAGAGAGAGAGAGAGAGAGAGGCAGAGGCACAGGCAGAGGAAGAAACAGGCCCCAGGCAGGGAGCCTGATGTGGGACTCGATCCCGGGTCTCAAGGATCACACCCCGGGCTGAAGGCAGCACTAAACCGCTGAGCCACTGGGGCTGCCCAAGATTTCGTTTTAAAGTAATCTCTACACCCAACTTGGGGCTTGAAATCAAGACCCCAAGATCAAGAGTTGCATGGTTCACAGATTGAGTCAGCCAGGCACCCTGGAACGGACACTATTTTTATTTTTATTTTTTTTTTTGGACACTATTTTTAAAAGAAACTTATAATGGGAGATTATTTGTAAGCAAAAATAGCTTTCTTTCTTTCAAGATTTTTACTTATTTATTCATGAGAGACACAGAGAGGCAGAGACATAGGCAGAAAGGAGAAGCAGGTTCTCCATGGGGAGCCTGATGTAGGACTCCATCTCAGGACCCTGGGATCACGGTCTGCACCAAAGGCAGACACTCAACCACTGAGCCACCGAGTTGCCCCACAAAACAGCTTTCTACTCTTCTATTAAAATACCTGACTGAACAGCCACAGAAGATACCAAAGGGGTTCCTCCCTGCCAACTGGATGACGACTTCTCTTCTGTTTTACTTGAGTGAACATCCAACATCATGGCCACCCAGTGCTCCACCGTCAGCCTTGTGACAGCATCATTCCTCATGATCCAGGAATCCGGGGCCTCTGTGAATACTACACAGCAGAAGGGCTCCACTTGAACCATGCAGACGTAACCGTACAGGACATCATTTTGGTAGACATTCAAGATTTTGGTAGTGAAATGCACCTTTGGCTTCTCACAGCAGAAGTGGAATGTTGGCAACTTTTCTACACAGTTTTCTATTTCTTTTTTTAGTAAGTCGGGGTTCACTTTTTCTCGCTTACATCCAAACACTTCTTTGCTCTTATCATCTACCCCCAAAATTAGGTATCCTCCAAGGGTGTTGGCAAATGCAGAAACATAATGGGACAGGATCTCTTTAACCCGGGGGACAATCTTTTTGGTGGTGAACCTTTTGAACTCGACATGGGTTGACTCAGTAAAATTGAGTTTCTCTTTATACATGAGCCTGTCCTTTTGAAACAATTCTGAGGCAGAACTCCTCATATCTTTCTCTTCCTGAATGTCTCTGTCAGGAACTGTCTGAGAATTCAGGTCCCTCACCCTTGATCTTCCTCTTTGGGCTCTAGACTGCTTCTCTCTGAGAAGCTCCAGGGCACTCCTGGCAGTCAAATTGATGGTGGAAGTCAAAGCTCTCTGGTATAGATTGGAGTGCAAGCTGCAAATCCGTAGGGGAAGGCTGAAAACATCTGGATTCCAGGACTTCACAAAAATCAGGAGATTGTGCCCCTGCTGCACGTAGTCCAGGTATTTATGTGAACCTGAAGGAAGGAGCTTTTGGAAAGAAGTTTCCAGATCCTGTCCCAGCCCGTGGCATTGGTAACTGTAGGTTTCATCATCAATCTCTGCTTTGATCACACCCCCTCCAGAATTTAACAGCGCGCAGGTGGCTTGGATGATCTTCTTATTCTCAGTTCTTTTCAGATAGCTATTGATCATCTTCTTCCTGTTCTCTTCTCCAAAAGTCACCCTGCCCACGTGTACAACTGTCTCGGGATAGAGCATTTCCACATCAGTCTGGAGGCCCGCCATTCCAGCAGCCCCTCTGTGCTCCAAGTGGTAACAGAACGAGGTTCCAGTAAATAACCTGGACACAAACATTTCTATATTAACAAGAATCCCAGAGATTCAAGGTATTTTCTTCGAAGTCATAAATTATTGGAGACACATTTTAACATTGGAAATAATCTTTGATATTACCATTCTCTAACTACTTGGACAAGAGCCCGAGCCTTTCCAGCAGGAGCAGGCATAGATAAAGGTGAATGCTTAATATTTGGCCATAATGGAAAAATTACATTGCTAAAATTTTCAGTTGTTTTTCAGTTAAAATTAGGAAGTGGCAATAGTGAGCCCAGATATAATGGGCATGGGTTGGCATGGGAGCTAAAGCAAGTTATTAGACAATATGCAGAAGTAGGGGTTGAAGCCAAAAGATGCTCCAATTTATAATTCAAAGGGGATGGGAAGGAAGGCAACAGAGCACTAAGAGAGGATAGTACTGGGGTGTATATGTGATGTAGAAGATCTTGATATAAGATCTTGCTATAAAAACAAACATAGCATTTGGTATTCTTTATGTGCTATTTTATAGATTTAAAAAATTTTACTCCTGAAAGAATTGCTACTGATACCAAATGCAGAAATCATTTTAGCTCCTCAAACCTCCTAAAGATACATTTCTTGATACACAATGTGAGGTAGGAGCAGGAGTTTTCTTTCCCTCCTAAGTAGTTCTGCTCTGTGCCATGGGAACCTATAAGGCTTGGAAGAGAACTGAGCCTTTGGGACATACAAAGTCATTAAACTGTTGTCAGCCTCCTTTTTGCTTCACAGACCAGAGAACAGCCACCCGAGTTGAAATCAGGGTTCTGAAGCAAATGTTTTAGAAACAACCCCCTTAGCTTTTGCTAATTGCAAAACAAAATTTGGCTAACCTAAGTCAAAATTCTTCCTCTAAAAGAAGAGACCATTTCTTCTGTGTGATCTTCGCCAAGCACAGACCATGTGGGTGTTGTTTATACCCACCAACTGGGGAAAGAGTAGGCATCCCAAAGGATGGGTACCCTCTCCTGCCATTAGTTTGCTCTTGGTCACCTTCTCACTTTCTGCAGGCAAACCAGAATCAACCTATGAATTGTTTTTTCATACATAAGCATCTTCTCTAGGCAAATGTAAAAGTATGGCTCTTAGAGAAATTTCTGAAAACATTTTATTCATATAATAGAATCACAGAAGTGTTTGGAAAGAACTTTAAAGACCTTCTGGTCTAACCATTTATCTGATTCTCTTTTAAAAAATTATTTATTTTAAGTAATCTCTACACTCAACATGGAGCTTGAACTCACGACTCTGAGATCAAGAGTCACACACTCCCCCAACTGAGCCAGGCAGGTGCTCCCATTTATTTGAGTCTCAAGTCCTCTCTGTAATATTCCCAAATCCAAACAAATTGCTTTCCAGCAACTGCTTGAACACCTCCAGCAACCAGTAACTCACTACCTCTCAAATTAGACCCTTCTGTTTTCTGAAAGCTGTGTTAGAAATGGCTTTCTGGGGACTTCTGCGTAGCTCAGCAGTTGAGTGGTTGAGCATCTGTCTTCGACTCAGGGGGTGATCCTGAAGCCTGATTCTCCCTCTGCCTATGTCTCTGTCTCTGTGTCTCTCATGAATAAATAAATAAAATCTTAAAAAAGAAGGAATGGCTCCCTGATTTTTCTTTTAAGATTTTATTTATTTGAGAGAGAGAGAGAGTGCACACATAAGAGAGGGGTGAGGGAGAGAGGAGAGGGAGAAGCAGATCCCCTGCTGAGCAGGGAGCCCGACACAGGGCTCTATCAAAGAACCCTGGAATCATGACCTGAGCTGAAGCCAAATGCTTAACCGACTGAGCCACCCAGGCTCTTGGCTTCCTGATTTTTCAACTCTAATTCACCTTCCTATAATTTCCACCTGCTGGGGCCCAAAGAACAAATCTAATTGCTTTTGAACTAGAAAGACCTATACTCTCTTGACTGCCAAGTCTGATTGATGTCACTTGAATACTGATAACAACTATCACAGAAAGAAAGTTTTCTGAGTTTCTAGGTCCATATGAACATTCTTCTACACTTCCCCAAATTTCTCACTCACTATCCTTTTCTTTTTTTTAATTTCTTTTTTATTTTTTATTTATGATGGTCTCACACACACACACACACACAGAGAGAGAGAGAGAGAGAGAGAGAGCGAGAGAGAGGCAGAGACACAGGCAGAGGGAGAAGCAGGCTCCATGCACTGGGAGCCCGACGTGAGATTCCATCCCGGGTCTCTAAGATCGCACCCTGGGCCAAAGGCAGGCGCCAAACCGCTGCGCCACCCAGGGACCCCTCACTATCCTTTTCAAGTCTACAAGTTAGCTAGTCTTTTACTAAGCCCTTTGTGTGCTCAGACATGAATTATACCTAAGATGAGATGGATGAGATTTAAAAAAATTTTTTTTTTTTTTTTACCTGTGTTCTTGCTTTTTTCCTCTTGCTGTTTCAGTTCCACATCTGGCTCTGGTCTGAATATTTGCCTTCTGTCACAGCTCCTGCTGCCCTTTGATATCAGCCTGGGAGGAGCAGGAACATGCCAGACTCCCCTAGTCCTCATAACATTGACCCACTGAGGAAGGCTGATAAGAACCCGAGAGAAGCCTATGACAGGGCAGATTAGCAGGCCAGGCTCTGACCTCTGGGAGTGAATGAAGTGGTAATGGAAAAATTCAGCTGTTTTCCAGTGAGTGGCCAAAGCTAGACTTCCCACCCTTGAAGAACAGACTGCCATGACCACATATGGTACAAGCATTTCCTGCCCCAGGTAACGTCATTTCGTAGTTGTACATTTATTTTAAAGTGGGCTCCCCTCTATATATATCCGTTATAAAAATTGCCAGCACATGCCATTACCCTCCAAATCACTTGTTCTGTTTACCTTTATCTTCTTTTTTTCTGCTCTTCCTTTTCATTGGGCAAAAGACACAGCCTAGAAAAATGCTAATTGGTGAGGGGCTATCTATCCCTGGGTGAGAGGATTACACACGATTTTTTAAAATCTAATTTCTTTTCCTTTCCTTTTCTTTTTTTAAACTTTTTTTTGTTTTTCCTGAATGTCTGCTATGAACAGCAATTGTTTTTTATAATTAAAACAACCCAGCTAAATAGGAAAAAAAACAACAACAGATGAGTTATCTCTGATTTGAGGATGCTGATTAAACTGGAGCAAGCTCCTTGTAGTAGGCTGAATAACAGCCACTGATGATTAGAATTACAAACCTGTGTTAATTTATAAGGAAAAGAAGTCTTTGCAGATGTGATTAAGTAAAGATCTTGAGATGAGGGGATTATCCTCCATTATTTGGGTGGGCCCTGCATTCAGTCCAGTGTTCTCCTAAGACAGAGGCAGAAGGATGTGATACATACAAGACGAGGCCGTGATGTGACCAAAGAGGCAGAGAGTCAAGCAAGAAATGTGGCCACCCAAGAGAAGGAATGCCAACAGCCACCAGAAGCTGGAAGAGGAGCAGAGTAGATTCTCCCCTAGAGCCTCTGGAGGGAGCACAGCCCTGCCACCATAGCTATGATTTGTGCCCAGTGAAACCGATGTCAAACTTCCGGCTGAGAGAATAAATTTCTGTTGCTTTAAACAACCAATTTTGTGGCAATTTGTAATAGCACCCAAAGGAAACCAATATACTTGTCTCCCTCTAAATCATACCATCAGACAACTCTGCATGTGTGTTTTTTTTTTAAGAAACTATTCTTTTAGACAACATCATAAAACTTTTTTCATATCCCCCCACTTGTTAGCCTTAATCCTCATCTTTTAGTTGAGAAATAAAGCTTGAGGAGGTGAGGGAAAATCATAAAGGGTAAAAACTTAGCAGCACTAACAAGATGCTTCCCTCCAGCATAGAAGTGGGCCCTCACACTGGCATTCTGCAGAACAGTCTTCCAGAAAGTGCTGATAGGTTTTTTTCAGATGGGGGAGTGGGAGGCTAAGATGTCCATGCTCTAATAGTGTCAGGAAACAGTAGGTAAAGGTTAGTTTTCTTTATTGTAGCTGGAATTCTCAATCCTTAGTAGCCTAATGTGAGTTGATCTCCAACAGGAGAAAAGGGATGTGCAATACTACCCCAAGCTTTTTGAACAAATAATCTTTTTTTTTTCATTAAATGCATCAGAAATAGTTTAGAGTGTACTATAGTCTTTTGAGATGGGAGTTAGAAAGCCCGATCTCTTCCCACGTCCGCTAACACCAGCAACAGAGTGATTCTAGAATGCAGACCACTGGCCACACTGAGAAGGGGACAGGTTAATCAAGGATGGAGTGGAAGGGAGCATCTGCGTCCTCATTTTCATTTCTGCTTGTACACCGTTTGCTCAATTGAAGTATAGTTGACATACAGAGTTGTATATTTTTCTTCACTCCCTTAAGTTAAGCACGATGTCCCCCCCCCACCCCTGCGCCCCTACCTTAAGCAATCCAATTGGGCACTACTTCCCCTCTTTTGTAACAGAGCAATTAAGTCAGCACTACCTGAAGAGACCAAAAGAGTGCTGCTGAGACAAGATTGTGGCCCAGCAGAACAGGCCAAATGCTGAGACACCACAGAAGACAACGTACTGTGCAAAGAGGGTAGTCTCAAGAAAGAATGCAGAAACGCTATCTAAGCAATATTTTCCTAAGCACTGGTTGTATCTCCACCAGCAAAACCGAGAAAGCATTTATGGTCACAACCCTGGATACTGGCCACCTCTTGGGTTTGAAATGTGGTGAGGCTTTCCTGGAAAAGGTGTCTGCCCTTAGACTCTAATTGCTTCAGTTTCATCCTCGTCTGGGCACAGTTCTGACACTGACCTGCAGCAGACTCGGTTTCCTAAGGCAGCCTGACCACATCAAGGGGTTGTAAAATAATCTCCAAGCATGGTTATTAACTAATAAAATTTGCATTCAACACCATATGCTGATAGGATGAAGCAAAGTATAAGATTTGAGTCTTAGATCTTTCT